TGTGCACCTCATGCTGAAGCTTGGCTTATTTGCATGGCCCTTGCAGGCAAAGGCAAGATCTCCCTCACCTACTATGATATTCTATAGTTGGGTACCCAGCACACTCTAAAAATATAACCATTCATCAAATCAAAGTTATGATCACAAATGATTTTAAGACAAACTCAATACTACAACATACCTGTTAGAATGGCAAAAATCCAGGGCCTCCCTGGTGGCACAGGGGGTTGAACACAGCACTGTGAGGCTGTCCGTGGCCTCTGCAGTGAGGGTTTGATTCCCAGCCAGCTAGGGAGATACCCACAAGGGGTGGCAGACCTCTCCTGTCTTGCCCGCTGCTCCCCTCAGCAGTGTTTTTGGTCTGTCGGCCTATTCTGTTCCCCGCTCTGTCTCTGATGAATCCTCTCACTCTCCTGCACCTCTGGCCTATACCCCGGTTTTTGTATGCATAAATAAATATATCTTTAAAAAAAAAAAAAAAGAATGGCCAGCCAAAACCCAGAAGACAGATAACATCAAATGCTGGTGAGGTTCTGAGCAGCAAGAACTCTCAGTCATTACTGGTGGGATGTGACCATTGGGAAGACAGTTTGGCATTTTCTTACAAAATTAAACATGCTCATACCATGCAATCTAGCAACTATGCATGTTGGTATTTACACAGAGGAGTTGAAACTTACATCTACATAAAAACCAGTACATGGATATTTATAGAAGCTTTATTTGTAATTGCAAAATCTTAAAAACAACCAAGATATCATTCAGTAGATACATGTATAAATAAACTGTGGTATATCCAGATGGTGGAATATTATTCAGTACTAAAAAGTGAGCGATCAAGCCATGAAAATACATGGAACAACCTTAAATGCTTGGTATTAAGTAAAAGAAACTGACCTGGAAAAGCTACATGCTATGATTCCAATTACATAGCATTCTGGAAAAGGCAAAGATCTGGAGAGAGTAAAAAGATCCGTGGTTGCCAGGGGCTAGAGAGTAGGAAGGGAAGAATAGGAAGAATACAGAGAATTCTCGAGGAAGTTAAGCTATACTGTATATTATAATGGTGTATACACGTCTTTATACATTTATCCAAACTCACAGAATATACACCACCAAGAGTGAAGCCTGATGGAACCATGGAGTATAGGTCATCATGATGTGTCAATGTAGGTCTAACAATTGTTGACAAATGCACCACTCTGGAGAGGGGAGCATATTGATAATAGAAGATGCTATGCATATGTAGGGGGAAGAGAGCATATATGAAATCTCTGTATCTTCTACTCAATTTTGCCATGAAATTATCAAATATTATTCTCCTCTTTATTTACTCAAGATAAGTTCAAACCATTGCTAAATATCAGTTTGGTCCTGATTTGAACCAAACTAGGGGTCAGGGTGGCATTCTGTACCCCACACCTCTTTTCATATTCAAACCAAGTCATGAGACTTGCGCTTACAAAAGCTATGGCCTCTGTTTCCTGGTTTCTACCCTTGGTTGCTATTTATTTGATTGATACCCACTTAAAGTGTTAAAGATTTACTCAATCAAAACTGAAACCAACCCAAACTAAACTAAGCAAATAAAATAACCAAGGTGCCTAGAAAAGTTCCATTTTCTTAAATCTCCTATGATTCCTTTTTGAAATATTCCTTCTCTGTACAGTTGGGTTGATTCCTTCAAGAAATATTTATTGAGCCCCCACAGGGTGTCAAGCCCTAAACCAGTCCCTAAAGAGAGAAATACATAAAACCAATCCCCCATGAAAACTCTCATTGGGGGTCTGTAGGGTAAGGAAAAATGTCAGGCTTTTCTGCCCTCCCACCATCAGAATAGATGACGGATCCTTGTGGTCCTGAATGCATGCCTGATGGATTAGGGTGTGGGCATAGGTAGATGGGATTCACCTGGGCTAAGACTGTGCTTTTAAGGGCAGCGTCACCAGGACGCCAGTAGAAGCCAAAAGAGAAGCCAAGAGAGAAGCAAGAGAAGCAGAAGCTGAGAGAAGGCCAGAGAGCCCAGAGTGAAGACCTGCTGGGGGCTGGGAGGACTGCCAGCCTCCCGGCCCCCCAGCACCTCTGCCTGCCATATGCCTGGTGAACCCCAATAAAAAACCTGCAAAAAGCCACTGAGGACTCTGACTCCTCCTTTACCTGGTCTGCATGGGATCAGAAAACCTGCACCGTGTCCTGTCCTGACCCTACAGGGTCAGAGCAAGGCTGGTGGATGGTGACCTTGAAACAAGAGAAGAGTGCACATTGTCTTGTCCGCAGGTGGGATAAATAACAACAGAAAGCATTTTTAAGGTAAAGTATGTCCATGTGCAGCTGAAATACACTTGACACTGCTGCTGAATCTATGAACCAAGATCTATGTTGTAACATACTTTCCAAATTTAGAATTAGAAGACACTTAAAAAATTCCACTCACAGCTTTCTAAAAGCTACCTATTTTATAAGGTGAGATTATAAATAAACTTCAGTAACAATAGTAATAGCACCATTTTGTGTTTTTACCTTTTTTTCTACTCAAAGAATTTCCCTCTTTCAAGGTCCCTTGTTTTCTTTACAGTCTGGTGGAGGAGAGGAAGTTCAGTCCTTATCGTACAATTTTATAGATAAAAAAAGATAAAATCATAAAGATGAGATTTGCACTAGGTTGGTGAAAGCACAAATGGTGAAAAGGTCAGTGGAAAAGTGTCTGATTCCCCACACTCAGCACACTTTCTGGGTGACATCAAATGAGGTCAGAAGCCTCAGAAATTAATTTGGCAAGTTACTGTAAGAAATGACTGCTTTCACAGTGAGTAACCAAAGAGGTCAAGAAGATGAACCCATAGGGGCAGAATAGGAAACCAGAAGGTTTGACAGAGGGTTCCTAGAAGCAAATTAAAACAACGAAGCTACAAAAACCTTTAGCTAGTCATCAGGTCAGCACACTTTTTTGAAAAACTACAAAGCCCAACTCAGGGGAGAGTGCTATTCACCCAGTGCTGCAGCGGGATGCAAATTAATAGCATGTTCCTCGGTTAGTTTAGTAGCATGGCTCAAAACTGCAAAAATGCTCATGCCCTTTGACCCCCACAAGTCTACTTCTAGAAAGTTACCCCAAGGGAATAATCACAAAGAGCTGTAGAAGTATAGCTACAGGACGTTGTTTTTAGAAATGTTAATAATAGAAAAGGAAACAAGTAAATTATTACCCATGTGAATTAATAAATTAACCATGTAATGTGATTTAAAAGTTTTTGTAGAAAGAAATGTATTATCACAGCAAGATGCTCACAATAAATTGCCAAAAGGGAAAAGCAGCCAGTGTTGTACCAGCATTTTTTCAAAATGTAAATGTGTACAGCGAAAAAATATCCACCACCATGTAAACAGCATTAACTTGTAATGACAAGTCTATGTCCCATCTCTTCTGCTTATCTGTGCATATTCTTCTTTAATTTTATTCGTGACAGTGAGCTTATGCTACTTGGGGACATCTTTAAAGGATCTGCTTTAGAAGTGTGTGTCACACATGACTTGACCGTGGCTGTCACCTCTTTGTCCTATGTAACCTAACAGGCTGTGCCCAAACAATGTTTGCTGGGTGGAAAATCAACAACTGCATCACCTGCATAGTTGCTAACTATCTCTTTAAATTCCTCATCACTATTGAGATCTAATTTATCTCAGAAGTGCTCCCCACCCCTTCTAGGAAGCACCATCTCCTCCCTTCTCCCATCGGGTCCATACATTGAGAGTAAACACGAATCCTCCATGTTCCTCCAATCAGTCCAGTCGCCAGGGACTGACCCCCATGATTCACCAAATCAGTGAGCAATGAGCCGCATCCTTTGAAACATCCTTCCCACTGCCCACTTCACACCTCCCAGCCACAGTGCAAACTAGCATTTGTGTAAGTTTTAAGTTGAATAGAACTGAACAGTAGATTTCCTTTTGTTCTCCTTTTTATTTTCATATTTCCTTCCTTTTTTTTTTTTTAAAGATTTATTTATTTATTTATACAAGCACTGGGTACAGTCAGAAGCTCAGGAGGGTGAGAGAATTCACCAGAGTCAGAGCGGGGAACAGAACAGGCAGACCGACGAAATACACTGCTGAGGGGAGCAGCGGGTGTGGCAGGAGAGGTCTGCGCCAAGTGGGACCCTGCCCGGCAGCCAGGGATCCAACCGGCGCTGCAGAGGCTGCGGGCAGCTTCTCAGCCCAGCGCTCAACCACTGCGCCACCAGGGGAGGCCCTCATATTTCCTTTCTTTAATCTTTCCCCTTCCTGTTTTCTCATTCTTTCCCACACATGACTGATGGGGATTTTAGAAATCAAGCATTCCCAATAAGAAATACAAGGCAAAGTTTATAATGCCTTCTAGGAGCACACAGTTTTCTTAAAATTATAGGAGTAACATTTGCACAGCTTGTTAATATGACATTTTAAGCCCTTACTGAAGGGAGCACACAGGTCTTGCTGATATGTAAGACTTGCAATGCAGTCCACAGAAGTCTGTTGATGATAATGGAAAGCCTTCGGTCAAACATTGGGCCAGATTATGCCCCTCTAAAACTGTAGAAACTTAATGGAAAACAATAAAATGCTTTCATTCTAACATCAACGATTACATTTTAAAAGGACCTTGTTTAAAAGACCCTTCATTTAAACCTCAAGATTTATCATGTCACATAACTATTGATGGCTGGTAAGTAGTATACAGTTACAAAATATATTTCCCATGTATTTCAGTGACACCTCCATAGAATAAGACTTATGTAGTCAGAGGCAAGCTTTTGATTTGGCTCACATTTACCTCTGAAGGTTAAATATGCATAAAGAGTCACAGAAATCCAGGAATACTTACACTCTTGTTTCAACAAGCAGCATTACCAGTTATATCAGATTTCATGAGTCCTTCCTAAATACTTCAGCAACAACACACATGAACAAAAAGAAAGGAGGAAAATTACAAGGGAAAAAAAAAAACAACCCGATCATCTTACCTTCTCCTTTCTGCAACATCAGGGCATGTGGCAAAGGGGGGCCGCCTTGGGAGGGAAGGACTCCCAGCTAAGCCCCTCAACTTCTTCCCCCAAATGAAGCCAGCTGAGTTGATATCGGCTATTCGAAACAAAAGTACATTTTGAAGCCAGTCGGATAGAGTTGCTGATTCCTACTCTGCTTTCCCCAAAAGGCTTTTGGCCTGGGCTGGGAAACGTGAAGATGATGCCTCCCACCTTGTCAGACCACCCAGCTGGTGCGGACAGTGAGAGTGGAGAAAGTGGGCTCCCCCAGACCTGTGAGAGAGCCCTCTCACGCTTTAATTCTCAACAATGACACATGCAGGGAGCTATGAACAGGAAACTCAGTACCTGGCAGACAGCCAGAGTCATTCAGAAAATGTGCCAAATGTTACAAAATACCACCACACTCTGCTGCACATTCACCGCTTAACGCTCTGCAAGGCTGCGTCTCTCCTCATGTGACTTCGCACTATCCCCGGACAAGGTCTGCCGTGGGACATCCAGTCAGTCATAGGTTCCCGTCAGCAGAGTCTCCTGGAGTCCTGGCCAGGACCGGGGTCTCGTTCTCTGCCTCTTCTGTTGACCTTCCACTACTTCTTACAACAATGGCCACAGACTCGAGCCCCTGCAATGCCACAGGACCCTTACTTAATTCAGTCATTTCTTAATACAGGGGTTCTTTGTGATTCCCTCCATCTATTCCCCCATCCCAGTGCCCTGGAAACATTGTGAGGCTCTCTTCAGTGGATAGAGCCACTGAAATCCTCATGTGTCAGGGCAGGGAGGATGTGGGGAGACAGGACCATAGCCAGAGCCTCTGACCTGATCCATCCACAGAGACAGTGTTGTCCAGTTACCTCTATTTCTCTCTTATGACCCCTCCAGAAGCCAGATCCAAAGTGCCCAGGACTACTTGAAAATCTATAGCACAGAGAATCTGGCATTCAAGATCTGACCTCAACATACCATTCCACCTTTTTGCCATTGCCTGTTACAAATTCCCCCTAGATCAATCTGGGTGGGCCACCCACTAACTAGAAAATACTCTTGAAGCCTGGGCTTGCTCATGCTCTGCGACCACCATTCTCTCCCCATCTCTCCTTATCCACTCACACATGCCAACATGCACACAAACACAATCCTCCATATGTCTGGTCTTTACCACTATACACTCAAGAACACCCTGTTCTGCATCCTGGGCTGATTCTCCCCATTTTGAACCCATGTCTTGTCTCTGTGATAATAGCAAACAATAACAGAGACAGCAAGAGTGGGCATTTAGTATGTGTTAGAAACTCTTCTAGGAAATTTCAAATCTTTAGACCCATTTTATACATGAAGAAACTGAGGCATAGAAAAAGTGATTTCCCTTAGTCCAGCAGGGTAGAATCTGGGTTGTGACCAGCCCGGCAATGCTCATCAAGTATTACCTGGAAGCAGTGCTATTTATTTGGGAACAGGGCATATCTACTTAGGGACAGTGAAATTTCCTCACACTTATTGATGTGCTTTCCAGAAAACATCCCAGAATGTCTGCCTTCTGGGTAGTTACTAAGCAGCTGTGATTAATTGGTATACTGATGGGCTTTAATTGAGATAGTAAAAGTTCCATATTAGCCATTAAGGACTTCCTCCACATTAAGAATAAGCTGGCTGGTCTTGAGTTTTAAGACAACATTCCTGTAGTGGTTTAGTTGACATTTTTAACTTCTCTGTAATGTGAGAGTTCAGATGTTGGCTATTGGTAGGATCAACAAACTGCTGAAGACAATTTCAATGAAACACCTAAGAAGACCCTAGAAGGTCAGGAAAACTTCCCACCCATCCTTCAATCTGAAGTAGCCATGGGGTTTGGGGGGATTAACTCCTCCCTCAATTCTACCCTCAACCCCACTGATCTGAGTCAACCAGAGTGTAGGGTAAGGAAAAATGACAGGCTTTTCTGCCCTCCCGCCATCAGGATAGATGATGGATCCTTGCGGTCCTGAATGCATGCCTGATGGCGGCACCTGGAGTAGGGTGTGGGCATAGGTAGATGGGATTCACCTGGGCTAAGACTGGGCTTTTAAGGGCGATGTCACAGGGATGCCAGTAGAACCCAAAAGAGATGCCGAAAAAGAAGCAGAGAACGCCAGAGAGCCCAGATAGAGTAAAGACTTGCTGGGGGCTGGGAGGCCTGCCAGCCTCCCGGCCCCCCAGCAACCCTGCCTGCCATATGCCTGGTAAACCTAAATAAAAGACCTGCAAAAGCCACTACTGACGTTGACTCCTCCTTTACCCGGTCTGCTGGATCAGAAAACCTGCTCAGTGTCCTTCCTGCCTCTACACAAGGTCATCCTACCCTTCCTTTTAAAGAGATCAAGAGATGGGGTCACTCAGAGCAAAGCCAGGCAACATTAAATATCCTCTATGGCATCTTGAGGCCTCAGGGGGGTCCCGTCAGAGCAAGTCTCAGGACTTCTGCTCCACAGTAGGGGGTGGCAGTCCCATAACATCTGCTACAGACACCCTTTTTTAAACAAGGAAGGACATAAGCTTAAGGATGAAGTCCCAACACAACACATATAGGAGTGGTTTCCAGAGAAGGACTGAGAAAGTGCTAGAAACTATCCCACCCATAGTATCGCTAGATTGTTCAGTAGTGAGAGCTGATACATCCTTTCTGGTGTTTCTAAGCCAAATTATTTATTTGAGTTGGGTTTTCAATTACCTGCCACCAAAAGTTTCGTGACTTAAACAGGCTCCACAGAAGAGATCAGAGGCAGCTGGGGAGCCAGAGGGAGGGACAGTATGTGGGAAAGAGTCTGACCTCCTTTTCTCCAGCTCCTCCTTTTTCCCTTTTCCTCCTCCTCCCTCTCCTCTGGTTGCTCCTCTTCCTTTTCTCTTGAATTTTTCCTCCCACAAAGAAAGAAAGTCAACATCTGTGCTCTGAGTGTACGTGACAGGGAAATAAGAAGAAAGGAGCAGCTGTCATGGTGATTTGTAGCTTCTTCCAGGGAACCCACAGACATGGCTATTTTTTTTTAAAGATTTATTTATTTATTTATACAAACACTGGGTATAGTCAGAAGCGTGGGAGGGTGAGAGAATTCACCAGTGTCAGAGCAGGGAGCAGAGCAGGCAGACTGAAGTACACTGCTGAGGGGAGCAGCAGGAGACAGGAGAGGTCTGTGCGCCGTGTGGGACCCTCGCCCGGCGGCCAGGAATCGAACCGGCGCTGCAGAGGCTGCGGGCAGCTTCGCAGCCCGGCTCTCAACCGCTGTGCCAACAGGGGAAGCCCTATTTTACTCTTAACACATTTGCATCTATTAGGGCTTCTGGCCAGGAGGACTAATGCTAGAGGGTGACTGATACTTCATCCAAGAGGTACTCTGGCATGTGGGTGCAAGATTATCTTCTAGGCACTTTAGAAAAAAAGACAAAAAAACAAATTAAAGAAAGTTTAGGAAGACCCAGCCTTTGAGTTCCAAGAAGCATATGATCCAATAGATAGCAGACTGTGCAAGAGGCTTACCCTAATTTAGGGATTTTTCCTCCCAAAATAGGAGTTAGTCACCTCAATTTTTCTCATATAACTTTAGTTTATTATCTGAACCTTTATTGAATCCTTATGATTTTTCTAATCTTTTTCAACTCTATACAATTTCTTCTCCCTTTCACTTTTTGATTCTTAGCGGGAGAAAAATGTCAAAAATCTGTACTATGTATTTAACATGTGTGGACATACACACACACACATATACACACCCCTCCTGCCTGGATTTTGACAATTGTTCAGTTCCCTCAGAGAGTTAGGGAAATAGTCATAGTTAATGGAAAATCTCGAAAACTTCGGTGTTCTTTGTGAATACTAGAGGAAGAATTACTTGAGCCAAGCCTAGTGTTTTACTATTAAAACTATCTGAAGATGTCATTATGACACAATTTTATCAGTAACATGGTCTGTGTAGAACTCCAAATCTGTATTTATACTTTGCAGGTCAGAAATATCTTAGGTATTTTCCAGAATATTTTTATGGCAAAATTTACACATTCAGAATTGACTTGCATTTAAGAATATCTTAAATATAGTCATAATACATGTGTTTCTACACATCATAACAGATGAGAAAAGAGAATATGATAAAGCACATGAAATGTGTGCATGCATGAGTATGTGTGTGTGTCAGCACACAAACATGAGCACTCCTGGTGTTTAACCTTGGATCTCCCTCCTTAAAAATAGGTGGTAACCCAAAGAACACAAAAACACTAATTGGAAGAGATATAAACATCCCTGTGTTAATTGCAGTATTATTTACGATAGCCAAGATTTGGAAAAAATCTAATTGTCTGTCTTCCTAACACATGGTGGGAAGAGGTGGTATATGTATGTGCACAATGGAATACTATTCAGCTATAAAAAAGATGAAATCCTGCCATTTGCAACAATATGGATGGACAGAAAAGATATGCTTAGTGGTATAACTCAGACAAAAGATACAAATACTATATGATTTCACTCATATATGGTAGAGGGGGAAACAAAACAAATGAATTAAATAAAACAAAAATAAACTTTTAAACTATCAGGCCACATTAGTGGTTACCAGATGGGATGGGGGAAGGTATATTGAACAAAGTGGGTCAACTGATGAAGGATGGAATTAGATTTTTAATGGTGAACTTAATGTAGAATGTACAGATTTTCATTTATAAAAATGCACATCTTTATCTTATAATGCAAAGTTACCTCAATAAAAATTTAAAAAAGAAAAAAAGGAAGGATAGTAAACCTGATTTATTAAGTCCAACAACTTTGTGATTAAACAGACATTGACCCAAGTCCTAGGAGACCTGAGATAAAGAGCTGGTTCTAGCTTTATCTCTGTGGTTTTGTGGAAATCACTTCGCCTCTGTGGAGCTCAGTTTCTACACCTGGGAAAAAAAAAATACAGTGTAGTCTGTCCTGGCTCCCAAAGTGCAACCAGGAGCATCACCAGGGAGCAAGTTAGAAATGGAGACTCTCAGACCCCATTTCCAGAATTACTGAATCAGATTCTGCATTTCAGAAAGATTCTCCAGCAATTCATGCACACATTCAAATTGAAAGGCATTGGTCTAAATTATCTCTGAAGTGCCGTCCAGTGACAATTGTTAGTTTGACTTGTCCCTTTAAACCAGAAAAGCTAACACATAATGCCTAATGGCCACCTTATAACCCTTGTGGTTAGGCCCTGGGGGAACTGGCTTGAACCCAGCCTGCTGATTTCCAGGCAATGACATAGAAACAAATCAAATAAGCTCTATGACTCTCTC